CGCCGCCCTATGAGGCAGCGGTTCCACCTAGAAGCCTGAGCCTACAGAGTGCCCTTCCAGCAGAGCCCAGCATTACGATCAGCCCCGACGGCCGTTCTCTTAATATCCCCCTGAGGTGAGTTGCTTTCTAGCGCTTGCCGTAAGGCGAATGTGTTGATCTTTTTGCTGTGGCACTGTGCTGGACTGTAGAATTCATTTGCTCGAGCGATATGCTGGACTGTTTTTCCTTCCTTGCCTTTGCACTGCACTGACCTTGGTCTTAACTTTGTGTCCTTTTGAGTCTAGCCTAGATTATTTTTGGACGTGTTTGGTTCTTGAGTCACAAGGTCGGTCTGAATAGCATCAGAGGGCTATGTTATCTTTTGCCAGGCCTAGATGCGAGGTGTTTTTGCAGGAGACTGCACTTGAAGAGTTCATAACCTTCTCATAAAGTTTCTTGTACGACCCTACCTTTGCATGCCCACCGGCACTGTTGGACTGAGACCGCAGGAAAAAGTGGAAACTCCGCAGCCAGTTCATGCTGAGGGTCCCCCCGCGAAGCTCCCCCCCCAGGGTAGATGTTTTCTTGCAGCTCGAGGGATCACGAAGTGGAGGTAGCCTGACGTTGCACCTATGTCGTCTCAGTCGTCGGATGAGTCTATAGGTTGGACACTTGATATTGCCCTTCCTGACCACCTGGAGGAGTTTAGACCGTTCCAATCGGAAGAGCTTCATGACACGCTGGAGACCCTGCCGCATCACCTGGCTAGTTGTCTGGCTACACAGATGTGGGAGTATCTTAGGGGTATGCAGGTGGCCTGGCGATGGTTTTATGTTCGTAACTACGACCTTCAACAGTACTTCCGAACCATGCGCCACGTCCTTAGACACTACCCCCCTACATCCCGACTCAGCCAATTCCCTGAGACAACAGACCAGGACTACAGCTTTTTGGATTTCCTGTTCAGGAATATTACATGCCGCTTTGATGCCAGTGCTGAGTGTCTTATTTGGGAGCACTTCGGGATGCACTTGCCGACATGGCTCATTCTGCTACGACCGGCGCGCATTGAGGGGCTCCATGAGTAGAAACCCACACTCCAACATGTGGAACCTTAAACCAGGAACCTGTACGTTGGATGTGGATGATGACGTCGTAGTTCAGGACCACGGTGCCCGCGAAGGCACTGCGACTCACCCTGAGGACATCAGCGTACCGGCCTCGTCCAGGGTCACAGTCATTGACTCCGACTCGGAGGACAACATCTGGGATGAGACGAACATCCGAAACCCCCTTACTCCCCGCCTTAGACCCCAGGACCCGGTTTTCGGTTTCACGGAATGCCTACTACTTCGGCCAGTGGAAATCATGGCAACCCGAATGCTACAGAGAGAACGTCCTCCTACCAAGGACGAAGTTCTGGAATTGTTTTTGATGATGCCGGTCTCAGGGCTTCGCAGGGGCAACACGACGGAAGGGTTAGGGGTCAGGTACTTGGTTAGTGGAGCCTCCCCCCGATCCAATGCTGATATCTTGTCGCACTGCATTGATAATCCGTATTTTACGTTAATCGTGAACCGTTTCATTAACTCTATTGCCCCTATGCATAAGTATACTACCTACGTGATACGGCAAGGGTGTAGCGGGGTTGTTCATCGCGACCTCAGAAACGGGCCGTTCAAGTCGATGGTTGTCAATTTGGGGGTCGGGGGACAGGGAGACGGACTTTGGCTGCACGACAGGATGGGGAAAGTGCTTAAGACTTTCGGAAGCCAGGTTTTGCCGGGGGTGGTTATGCCACTGGATTCGCCGTTCTTTCTGGACGCCAGGAGGTACCTTCATGCAGGCCACGTAGCAGACAAAAGCCGATCCCAAGCAAGGGTAGTCCTCATCGCCTTCACGACCATTAACCTGGCCAACCTAGGACCCTGCCCCAGGTCTAGGCTTCTTAGTCTAGGATTCCCTCTGCTCGACCGCAGGGACCCCTCGTGCCAATGCGACATGAACGATTTTGGAGCCCCGCCAAGATTAAAGCAACTCAGCATGCATGAGGCCCTGCAGGTTCTCCACTCCAGCTCACGACAGGACGTTATCGAAGTCGTGGACAGTCAGTAACCCGAGCTTGGCTGCGGCAGGCTGCTCCTGTGTGCAATACACTGGAGTCGCCGTGGAGTTGGAGCCCTTCTTACGAAGGGTCTTGGAGTCTCCTGTTTTCCACCTTTGTTGATTTTTACTTTGCATGATGCACTGTGCTGGACTGGAATTCGTTTTGCTTGCTGGACTGACTTTCCTTGCTTTGCTGGACTGCCACCTTTTGCACTGCTACTGTCATCATAACCCTCACCTGCCGTGCATGTTTTCTGCCTGCCCCTGATGATGATGCTGGATGTTGTATAACTGCTGATGGATGAGGTCCGTCTTGTCTGTCTCCCCACTCCTAGGCCTTTATCATGTTTTATCCTTCTGGTTGTCCCTAATCAAACCACTACCCTGCGCGCAAGTGCTTGAAGCCATGGCTGCTGATGCTGACTAGCGCAGCAACACCTGGAGTACTGGCACCGAGCTTGGTGCACCTGGGAGGATGATGACCTCCGAGATGCCCGTGAAGCAGCGCCTTCAAACTGTATACTGAGCAGATGTGCTCGAGGGGCTGTGCCCTACTGGACTGGACCAGTTTCTCTGTGCTCGACTTGCATGTCGCCGACCCTCGACACACAAAGACGATGAATGTGTTGACAGCCGAGCCCTTGGGGGAGAGAGGGCACGTGGTTGTACTACAGCCAAAACGAGGCGGTTGATGACACGTCGGGAGCAGCAGCGAAGGTCCAACACCTGAGGCATCCCTGGGGCTCATAGCGAGCCTTGTATACTGGACAAGGGCTCAACAAGCGCGGAGCTGCCTGCCCTCCCTTAGGAGGAGGCTCAAGATCAGATCCGGAACTCCTGATGATAGGGATTACACAACCAAGCCTAGCGGGGCGAGGCCGCAGTGATCCGGAGAGTGCAGGGACTGCAAGAGCACAGCTTGGCCCTGTAGCTGTGTCGGAAAGCAAGAATGAGTGGGCTGCGGGGCCCCAGCTGCGTGGTGGGCCTGTGGATCAACCTGTGAGTGGTCTGAGTGCATGAGGTTTGTTAGGAGGGAGCTCAATGCAGTTCCTAGGATGTCGAGGAGGCTCGTATGAAAGATGCCAGCCTACTCGATGGACGCGGGGGCGAGCGATGGGTCTAATAGTGTCGGTTCTTACTGACTGGTTGCTGGGCTCGCGCATCCTCGCCAGGCTGCTTGACAGTCGCTGCCGAAGTTCACTGAAACTCACTTGTGTAAAGTAGTGGTAACTCTAGTCCTTGAGATAGGCTGCTCACTCGCCGGTCAAGGTTTGTTGGCTTGTTGAGGTGTTCCTTTGCGGTTGGTGAGTGGGCTGTCTTCTCGTAGTCTCTGGGACCCCTGCTTTCGGGCGCTTTTGCGGTAAGGGTCTTAGATTCTGGGTTTTTGATTTGGTCTGGTTCGATTGGGGGTCCTGGTTTCCTGTCTCACGCCGACCTCGTACCATTGACCTCGCCTGGCATGTCCGAGTTGTGAGAGCGTAAAACCACAACGGTGCCTCGATTTCCCTCGCATAGACCGACCGTGCCTGCCTTGCCGTTTTTGCAGGGTGGATGTATGTGGATATTGTCTCTACTTAGATGTTGCACATAGTGCTCGCAAGGTGAGCTTGCGAAGTAAGTAGCCTAGTATCTGCTGGACACGTGTGAAGACCTTATACTGACGCCGAGTTCGCGTCTTTGACATACGAGGCAGAGAGCCTTGTCGGTTTGGACGGCATTCCAGATGGCTGCTTCAAGCTTCTTGGCTGCGCCTGATACCCACTTTAAATTGACCCCCCCCATCTTGCTGGCTTGAACACCCGGTTAGGAGGCCGCGTTTGTTCCACAGCCTCTCAACCCCAGGTGTTCGTCGGGACATCACAGATTTAGATGCTTGCGGTCTTGCTGCTTAATGAGTCTTACTGCTGCTGTTGGCCAAATTTGACAGACTTCCCATCTGTGCTTGGGCACACGACAAAGCCCTACAACCCTAGCAACAAAAAGCAGCTCAAATCATGTCCGAGGCGTGGAATGTTTTACGCGGGCCCGCACAAGCTTGAGGGATCAACCCGCACCGTGGAGGCTGGCAGCGGGGCACCTTGACGTCTCGCAGATGCTCGTATCCATAAAAAGAGCCTGGCAGTATTCCAGGTCTGCAGTAGCACCGTTTTTGCAGCATGTTGTGCCGCTACTTTTGTGACTCTTGGTGTTGTTGACAATGGTTTGTAATGTCCAGTGACGTTATGGACTTGTTGCTCGTTCGCGTGCTCCGCAGGGTCTCTCTCTTGCGGAGAATCGTATTTTCTGTTTGGGACACGGGGGTCTCCCGCGAAGAAGCGCTCAAGAGCATCAATCTGGCCTCTTTTGTGGACTAAGGTAATTACTCGTAGGTTTAATGCTGACCAACAACATGCTTGTGCAAACGGGGACTTCGCCCCTCCAGTGGGACAAAGCTCTGAGGCACCCGGCCCGGATTCGGAGTGCAGTCCGAACTAAACAAAGTATATGATGTCATAGTCATGTACATCATGCGTAGTATAGCATCACATAAAATTGATAAGATCCTAGTACAGTACTCTAGCAACCAGCCCCACTTGCAGGCAACGCCGCAGGACTGCCAGTTGCGGTGTGGGAGGACGTTTGCCTGCCCAGGGCTCAGGATGGGATCCCAGCTGCGTCCAAGCAAATCCCAGTTTCATCGGACTGCGTCAATCGCAGGGCCACGGTCAGGAGCTGTTCGGGATTAGGCTGCAGTGGAGCAGACCATACCGGGAAGGTTGAGGGCTTCTTGAGACGGCACACAGGTGCCAGTCAAAGCGCAAAAGCTCGACAAACTAAACTCTGCTGGCTCGAAGGTCAAAGAGTCAAGAGGCCTAAATGACCCCCGTGGGATTGCCGAAAAAGCAACCATGCGAGCCTTGAAGGTGTTGCTGGCATGCCTGCCGCTTGGGATGGCGGGGGAGCTCTCGGCCCTGAACATGCAACTGGAAGCAGGCCCAGAAGGACTTGATCAGCGACCAGGCGTATGCTCAATCGCACATCTTCAGACCTGGGTCACCCAACTACGACACCACGGTTGCGCAGCTGAAGGCCGATGATTTCCGCCCTCGGCATGCACACCGGCGATACCGGCGCAATGGCTGCCCAGGTGGCCATGCACACGACCATTTCAGCCGCTATGGGAGGCCTAACAGTATTCATGCTCCGCTAGGGCATCTACAAGAAGTACGATGTGGGTGGCCTTTGCGACGGCATTCTCGCGGGCCTTGTCTCCATTACGGCCCCCTGCGAGGCAGCGCCTCTGCCATTGGCTTCATCGGAGCCCTCGTCTACCAGGCGGCTTCCATGTTCCCGCAGAAGATGAAGGTTGATGACCGAGTGGATGCGAGCCCGGTTCACGGCTTCTGCGGCGGTTGGGGCTTGCTAGTTTTCGATTGGGGAGAAAGGCTTGAACCACCACCATGCCTGGTTTGGATTCAGCTGCAAGCCCGTTAGCGACGCCGAGCCGACCTGCATGACTGGTATCGGAGGTAGAGCTATTGCTGCACAGGCGATTATGGCGCTAGTGATCATCGCTTGGGCGGGAACTCTTTCCAGGCCTTGCCTTATTCGAATTGAAGATGACGGGCAAGCCACGCTGCTACGCATTGACGAAGACACGGAGGAGACCGGCATGGATCTAACACAGCACTCTCCTCCAAAGGCCTATGCGATTGGTCCGGCGCAGTCTCCACCCTACTAGCGAAATCGACGTCGCCAGGGGAAGCAAGGTCGAAATGAAGGTGAAGCACGGGACCTGGTGGGCGGAGGCCCTGCGGCAATGACTGCTTGGTGTCACTCCTGGCCCAACCTAGGTGCCAACCCAATGGGCCGGCACTAAATATGCAAGAGGATGTGTCGTCGCAACCTTACGTCGAAATCGGTGTGAGAGTACCAGCGCGATTACTGCTGCTATCGCCGCAACAACAACTTCAACCGCGACGACAGCAGCATCGGAGATAACCACCACCACCACCACCACCACCGCCACCGCCACACCACCACCACCGCCCCACCACCGCCCCACCACCGCTCCACCACCGCCCCACCACCGCCTCACCACCGCCTCACCACCGCCTCCACCACCACCCCACCACCACCCCACCACCACCACCACCACCGCC